AAAAAAAAAAAAAAAAAAGAAATAATTTCCACATGAGAGAAAACATACATCCTTTGTCTCTCTGAGCCTGACCTACTTCACTTGTTTTCCAGATCCATCTATTTCTCTGCAAATGACATTATTCTTCCTGATGGGTGAGAACTGGTGTAATCACCATGGAAAGCTGTTTGGAGATTCCTCAAAAAACTATAAACAGAACTACCCCATCCGATTCAGTGACACCATTCCTATTTGCCCAAAGATCACAAGTTAGAATACAATAAAGAAGCTGTATACTCATACTCTTTGCTGCCATCTAGTTTAACAAGCCATTTTCCTTCGATAATGCCAAAACAAGAAGGGCTTTTGATTCCACGTGAAAGCTGCCATGTGGATGCTGAAGAGGTCTTGGCACCAGTCACAACTGTGTGACAGGGACTATGCTAAGATTAAAGAACCCCAGCCACAGTAAAAAGTGAATGGACCAAGGGTCAAGATCTGATGAAGTATGATGAGTACAACTGAGACTATACATATGTGGCCTTGGCTAGCTATCCTGGCTCTGGGGGACATTCTCTCCACTCCCAGAATCTATGCTCTCCTCCCTCTTATTCCTCACCCTGTGGTGTGCACATTGACTGTGAGGACCTGGCTTATCTTTTTCACTTTTGTACTGTCCTAGAGAGCACACCAGTCAACATGGGGACACCCACAGTAACACGTAGTCTAATTTAAGAGCATAATAGTTTAAAGGAAAGATTCTAAATGGATTTTTTTTTGGATGGAGTCCAGTGCTGAATATTAAACACAGGGCTTCTAGCAAGTACTTTAAGAGAGTACTCTTGCTTTCATTTGTTTCTTGAACTTCAATTCTCCTACCTCTTTCTGAGAAGCTGGACTTTTAACGTATGTACCACTATGTCTGGCTTTTTTTCCCCCTTTTTGAGACAGGGTCCTGCTATATTGCCAAGGCTAAATTCAAATACTATGTAAATCCAGGCTGGCCAAGAACTTGTGATTCTCCTATCTCAGCTTCTAGGGTGTTATGATTATAGACATGTATATTGCACCCAGCTCTGTGTGGTTTTAAATGAATGAGGTTTAGGGCATGTGCAACAGCCAGGTAGAGAGGCAGAGCAGCTGGAAATGTTCCTCTAGAGAAACCAGAGAGGGAAAGAGGGGATGAGATTCATACAAAGATGGCAGAGGGTGGCAAAAAAGCTGCTCAGAGAGAAGAAAGCAAACCCTAAAAAATAACAGAAGAGGAATTTCAAAACTATTCAGAGATTTTAAATGCGTTCACCCCCATTCCAAAAGAAAGAAAGCAGTAAGAACGTGGGGAAAGAGAGCTCTACTAGTCTGATACACACTATATATATCGTATACATTTTATAACACTACCCTACATGGAGTGGAGAGAAAGAAAAAGGAGAGGAGCAAGGGGGAGAAAAGGGACATTTTTAGAAGAGAGTCTACCCAAAAGGACCCTTTGCCTAGCAGCAAGAGAGGAGACAGTGCTCTGCTGGAGCAGGGCCATGCTGACAGAGGGGCAGCAGGAAGGTAGCTAGCTAGCTCTTCCCTCGACAGTAGGTAAGGGATGGGGTTTAGTGACTGCTCGATCACTGGAGGCCTTAACATCTAAGACTACACGACAGAAACTGCAAAGCAGACGCTGTCAGGCACTACTCCATTGCTTCTCTTGAATTTCATGCTAGGAAGGGGTAAGTCTCTGGAATACACTATGCACAAATGTACGCTCCCTGTCCTCAAATCTGCAGGTATCAAAACAGAGCAATTACCAGGACAGGGGGCTGCGTAGGAAGCAGGGCTGGCCTGTGGTCTTTCATCCTTCCCCTCTCATTGCTCTCTCGCCTCTGGTCTCCCACTCCACGGCCCATCAGAGAGCCTCCTCGTCTTCCTCCTCGCCGGGAACCATAGCGTCCTTGTTTATGCTGTCTCTCTCTTTCTTCAAATTCAAGCAACGCAGCTTTGGCTTCTGCTGAAAGCTCTGTTTGACAGAAATACATACATATTAGATACCTTCAAACAGCCTACACTAGATTCTTGAGAACAGGAAAGAAATGTGTGGCAATTAGCTTAGGCAGCAGGTACTTCAGCCACAACTCACAAGTGTGAGCCATCATGCCACTCACACTCAGTGGTGGTATCTGTTGAGCAGACTTTCCTGTGCAACAAAATGCAAGTGTCACCCACATTTTAAAGTATTTTCACCTGAGACCACAATATGCTTAGTGAGACTATCAACAACAGCCAACGTTAGAGTTAATGACTGCCTTAGGAAACTGAGCCTTTTGGAATCATTTCTCCTTCTCTAGGCTAATAACACTGGTCAGAACTCTCTCCTAAGCCTGTACCAGCCCAGCTCTTACATACAATGGCAAACAATACTCTGGAAAACAAGTTCTGATCATTCTAGCTTGAAAATTAATGAACCCACTGAAGTCAAATCATGAATTCCCTAAAGAATATAAAGCTCACTTAAAACTATTTTGCCTCAAAATTTTATAATCATATAAAAATTTCATTCTGTAAAAAAATGCTAACTCAAATGCATGCAAAACCATACAAGGAAAAACTTACTAATGCAAGAACGGTGGAGCACTGCGCAGCTGCTCGCCTCTTTGCCCATGCTCAAATACAAAAAAATACAGGCACTAGACTAAGAAACCTGCCCTCCAACAGCACATTAAATTTTAAGAAATCTATCTCCTACCGTGCACTCTGTTACCTTTTCCAAACTCTGAAAAGTCTAAGCTATATCTCATTTTCTTGAAATTGTTCTATGGTATTCCCCTCCCCTTCAAATGAACTGCAAGCCTATGTGAAAGAAAATTTAATCTGATTTTATTCTAATCTTTACTACATGATTGGTTCACACACACATTTTATGCAGTGAATCAGCAATTATTTTTCTAGTGGTTCTGAATGTCAAGATTAATTTCACTATCCTCAGTAATAAAATGGTTTCAAATGACATCTTTAATCAGCAAGTAAAAATGCTTTCCTCCAATTGAGACAAGCTGTCATAAAAGGTCACCAAAATATGACAGGATGGAAATTACATTTGTAACTTCAACTGAAATGTTAATTTCTCTTTAAGTGTTTTCTGAACTATGTCCAGATTCCAAAGTAAAATATAGCACAACATAATATTTTATACTGTATAGCCTCTTCCTTATACAGTAAGAAGATATATATATATATATATATATATATATATATATACAGATAATCATATAGTTGTTGGAAAAGAATGACTAATGAATGGCATATTCTGTTTGGCAAAAAAAAAAAAACTAGCAAATCACAATCTAGAATTTGTTGGGTTTTTTTTTAAAAAAAGGTTAACTAAACCAAACAATTATTTTGTATCTTGTAAACACAAGAGCCAAATGTAATTGCTGGCACTACCAAGCTTTAATGGTTTGGTGCGAAGTGAAAATCTTTTTCCACATACTCTGCTAAAACTAAATTAAGGATTAGTTCAAAAGAACACTGAGCAGTTGTTGAAAGCAGGTTCTTTGGCTAAAGCAAGAAAAAACAATTTAACATAATACATGATCTTAGCATTAACACAGAATCTGAATGTCTACTCACAGATAATAAAAAAGTAACATACATGCAGCCTTGCCCTTCTAGCTCATCCTGCTTTCAAAGACCATGTGAGGACAACTTCCCAAGAAACAGCAGTGACAGCTCTGACCTTCAGGGCTCATACAGCAGGGAAACTGGTCAGTGACATCCCACCTGCATTCAAAGTAACACATCCCTAACATATACATGTTCTTGCCACCCTGCTCCACTGGGTTTCATGAGAAAACTACCACTTACACTTACAGCATCTTTTGTATGTGATAACCTAATTCATCTGAATATG